AAAGGTATCCCTAACTCTATTAAAAGGTATTACATTGTGCATCAGAAAAGTTATTACATTTCGCGTTGAAAAGTTATTACATTTTGCCTCAAGTAATTAATTACATTTTGCGTCGAAATTATTACATTTTGAGGCAGTATTACATTTTGCGGCGTAACAACACGTTTTCTTAAACGAAGTAAATTTGCAAACCTCAATCCCAGAGGTTTTTGCGACTTAAATGCTACAAAGACTGCGTAAATGATTCTCCCGCCTTTAGGGTTGACAATCTTACACCGTTAGTTATTTAACAAATTCCAAAGTCAGGTGACCTCTTCCCTTTTATTTTCCGATTTGCATATGACCTATACATTCTTAAAAGGCAGACTTCAAAACACATCCTTGAAAGCCTTTGAAAAATACTAAAAATGATTTTATTCGGTAAGGAGTGTACTGCATAATGCCCCAAGGCTGTAGAACAACATATATCTGTGTTGTGGGCCCTACCGCCCTCGAAATGTGATCCAGATATTCCGGGGTTCCAGACAGTGGACTAACAGAGCCCTGTGCTGAGTAATAATAATGGTGGCGGGTTCCGTGACTCTGGCCAACCCGTATTTGAACAAAACTCCTCTTAATGAAAAAAGTCTCAATAGTAAAATATTACAGTCAAAGTCCATGCAATATTTACATAACGGCTCGAGCTAATTTTTAGATCTTTATAGCTTGTGCACGCTTAGTAATTTTCAGTGTGCTTGGTAGTATGAATTTCAGCCGTCTCTTCTCTTTACCCCAAGGGGGGCGCGGGAAAGAGACTGCTGAAATTCAGACTTTGTGCTTAGAAAATATAAATATCTATTTACAATTAAATACCAATAACACTTAAACCATCAACATCATTCTGAAGATGAGACTTGCTCTAAAACATGATCATTTGACGAGAAACCAAAGTTTCACTGTGAACTTTTGGTGAATCAGTGTGAATCTCTGAATCATAAATACACACTGTAGCATTTTACTGTCTCTGCTTCAAAATTCCCAAAGACGCCTTTGGTATCAGTTGCATCATATACAGTGTACATTCTAAATATGCCACAGACAGGTACAGCACTTGACAGGTTCATAACAAACACCACGTCTTTCTCGTCGATTGAGAACAGAGTCAGGCCACAGATAGTTCAGCAACCAAAATGGCAGCATGATGATAAGAAATCCTAACAAAAAGTACAAGTAAAACACTTCAATCAGTTTAAATGACCACAAGATGACTGTCTGCATTATTAGGTCCTTTAGAGTGGGGCACTTTGAAATTTTACTCATAGGTAGTGCCTTGTAGCTGAGCACTGCTTCTATGCATGTAACAATTCAAACCTATGAAAGTGTAGTGCAATTATCCGGGTGAGTGTA